TCTACTGTATGGGGCGGAAACCTGGAGGACTACGAAAGTCATCATCCAGAAGAGACAGGTGTTTAATAACAGTTGTCAACGCAAAATACTTCGGATTCATTGGCCAGACACTATCAGCAACAACTTACTATGGGGGAGAACAAACCAGATTCCAGTGGAGGAAGAAATCACGAAGCTCTGGAAGTGAATAGGACACACTGAGGAAAGCACCCAACTACGTCACAAGACAAGCCCTCACCTGGAACCATTAAGGCAAGGTCAAAGGAGGAGAGGAGGAACAGAGAACTGATTACGCCGAGAAATGGAAAGACATGAGAATAATGAACAACAGTTGGATCGAACTAGAAAGGAAGGCCCAGGATAGAGTGTGTTGGAGAATGCTGGTCAGCGGCCTATGCTCCATTAGGAGTAACAGGCTGGAAGAAGAAAAAGAAGATAACTTATAAACAATTTTCTACGTAAGATACTGAATGTCCGTTGGCCGGATATTATCAGCAACAGCTTACTATGAGAGGGAACAAACCAGTTTCCAACTGAGGAGGAAATTAGGGAAAGACGTTGGAACTGAATAGGACATACATTGAAGAAATCATCAAACTGCATCACGAGGCAAGCGCTAACTTGGAATTCTGAAAAAAACGAAAAAGAGGAAGGCCAAAGAACATACTGCGTCGAGAATTGGGGGCTGAATAACACCTGGAAACAGCTTGAAAGATTGCCCAGGACAGATTTTGACGGAAAACGCTGGTTAGCGGCCTATGCTCCTCCATGAGGGGTAAGTCATAATTAAGTAACAACTTCTTAATGATTAAAGATTAGTTAATCCCATTGAATACAATACAGACTAATACTAGACAAACACCAGGATGGAGCGGCCTCTTAGCGTTTAAGGTGTTTGGCTTTAACCCATTAAGTTCCAGGTTCGAAACTTGCTCCACCTAGTTCGATTTGATCGACCGGGTATTACCACTATCGGTCACATTAATTGTGACTCATACCAAAGCGGCTGGCGAATCAATTGATGAAAATCTAGTTAAATATCTATTGAGATACAGAGAGCACTAGATAGTTGCTTCCTTTCAGTGTAGGACTCCTTAGCAGTACACATTCAAGACCCCAAGGTTCTATGTTCGATTCCCGGTGGGGATGGATGGATAGATATTTAACTAAAATCAGTCAGTAATGTAATCTACGAGACCGACAACATGTTTCTTCAATGAGAAATGGAGCAAGGTGATGATAATGAGTTTTGTCTTGGTATAAATGATGGTTATCAAATGTGAAAGAAAAACAGTAGAGATAAGCATACTGAAGACACATGTTTTATACAACATAACTATAGTATATTGAGCTTTAATTAACTAATCTATTCCAAAATAAATAGACACTTTATTCTATATACAATCACATGTTCATCATAAATGACAGGCCGTAATTGAGTTTAATATTTTGTGATACATTGGGGCCAATCAGAAATTGGTGAAATGAAAAGTGTACGAGATTGGTTGAGAAATGACTTACATTTCTGAGAAATGAGGTATACCACTAGTGATTTAATCTTTTAGTGAATATATGTATGATTTTACATACATTCCCGATTCGGTTTCTTTTCCACTCAAATAGCTGTTTTGGCTCGTGCATAAGAAACCTATATGTCAGCATTAGAATCAGACACCGAACAACAACGATTTTTTTTTGGTTGAGATCATGAATTAATTGACGTTAGACCACCGTTTGGAAACCTGGAAGCACTGGACGGCCGTTTCGTCCTAGTATGGGACTCCTCAGCATTGCGCATCCACGATCCCGCACTAACACTAACACCATTGGATGCTGGCTCAGTGGTCTAATGGTTAAGTGCTCAGGCGCGAAGCCAGTAGGTCCTGGGTTCGAATCCCGCGGGGTGCGGGATCGTGGATGCGCACTGCTGAGGAGTCCCATACTAGGACGAAACGGCCGTCCAGTGCTTCCAGGTTTCCAACGGTGGTCTAACGTCAATTAATTCATGATCTCAACCAAAACTTAACAATCTCCACAACCCCCATACTGATAACAACGATTTTTCTGTCATCTAAAACTATACTCGACGTCCAAATGAATTATTTCAAAACGAACTGCGGTTGATCTGAATACTTAACCCTGTGTCAAAGAAGGGGAATAAGTCCTAGTTTCCTATTTAATAATACAGTGACAATACATACATTTTACACTTCCCTCCCTCGTTGAGAGTTGACTATTTTCTTTTTTGTTAATTACGCGTGAATAAGTATAAGCCAGCTTGATCTCCTTACTGAAACTCTCTTTCTGTACCATCTAAATAATATTTAATTAGGCAATTCCTAAAGGATTATCATTGGTTATTTTTTACCACGGAAAGGCTTTCATTTACCAAGACTTATATATGTCGGTGTGAGGTCACGGATTGGCAAAGCAAGGACACGGTTTCTACAGCTGAAGAACATATGGAAATCAAAACAACTGTCAGACAACACCAAAGTCAGAATTTTTCAATGAAAACGTCAAGACAAATCTACTGTGTGGAGCTAAAACTTGGAGAACTAATTTAACCATCATCAAAAAGCGACATGTGTTTTTGAAAAGTAGTCTGCGCAAGATCTTCAGATCCGTTACTCAGACGCTATCAGCAACGACCCACTTTTGCAGGGAACAAACCAGCTTCTAGTTGGAGAGGAAATTAGGAAAAGACATTGGAGGTGGATAGGACATACACTGAGGGAATCATCAAGCTGGATCATGATGCAAGCCGTAACTTAGAATCATCAATGCAAAAGGAGGAGAGGATCAAAGAACACATTGGGCCGGGAATCGGAGGCAGATATTAAAAGAACAAATATTCCAGGACAGAGTGGGTTGGAGAATCTTGGTCGACGACCTATGTTGCATGGACGATAACAAGCGAAGTTAAGTAAATAGGTAGTTTATGTCAGTATGAAGACTGTGAAGATCGTTGAATTTTATTGAGGTCACGAAGAACCGACACTTAATTTAAAAAACCACTCAAAACCTGGAAGCACTAGACAGCTCGTTCCTCCAAGAATGAAATTCACCAGCAGTGCATATCCACGACACTATCACACGCGATCGAACCTAGAACCTCATGCGTGAACACTTAACTTCTAGACCACTGGGTTGGTTGAACTTCAGTGGTCAAAACTTCTGGCCAAAACTCCGGAAACATCCTCTCCAAGTTATTTACTAGTGGGAGCATTATAACCATCAGTAATGATTTAATATCGGTGTATCTATAATCAAACCACGTCACTATTTAATTTTTTTACCATCATTACTAAGATATATATTGTGAGTAAACAATACATCTTTTATGTAATAAGCAAAATTTAATAAGAATGAGTCGACAACTGAAATTATATCACTTACTAATTCATTCTTATTATATGTAGAAATAGAGCGATAGGATGGTGTTAAAGCTTGTTGACAATTTACTTGTGGTGAACTATTTCCCATTTTAAAATTCACATTAGATTTTCGATTTGTGAATACTGGATGAATAGGTGTAACCTGAAGTATTTCAAAAACGAATATTTAGGTTTTATTGTCGAAAATAATAATAATAGCACCAGTTATAATAATAATACGGGTGTAACGAATGACTTTAGTGGGTTGGAGAATTCTGGTCGGTGGCCTATGCTCCATTGGGAGTAACAGGCCTAAGTAAATAAAGACCGACTTTTTTTCATTTTACTGATAGGAAAGAAATAAGTGTCTCAGTGAAAGTTTCGACAACACAGGTAACATGGTTGGATAAATGTCAATCGAGGTAATTATATCGATGCTGAATTTATATCAGTTACCAGAGTATTAAGGTTAATGAGAACTACATGGTAATTCTGTAGTGAAGCCTTATCTAATAACTGAAAGATGGTGCAAAACATAGCATTAAAAATTCTCATAGTTCAGTATAAATTATTCAGGAAACTGAATTATTACGTAATAGATCAATAGTTTGGATAGATGATAAAGGGAATTTTCAAGATATGACGACTAATAGACGGAGTCACTTTTATTGATACGAACAAATCTAAATAAAAAAGGATAAGAATTGAACACTTCAGCAGTTACCATGGATGCTTGTAAATTTTAGCAGTCTTAATTAAATCAACATACGTTTGCAAAGCTATCACATTATTGAAAGGCGGCAACAATATTTATGGATAGATACTAGTAAACACTAATTTTAATTTAAAAAACATTTATTGATAAGTATCAGATGTGCTCCACAATCAGTACACTACTAGTTGTAATTAAAACTTACCTATTTGTTTTGAGTGTTTTATTAGGTTGAGGTTATCCACTTTAATAACAACAATCAGTGTAGTTATACAAACTACGTTAGTGATTATATTAAGAGTACAGTTCATATTGAACAAAAGCAGTAATATGAAAGTATTTGACTGAAACAATAAAAATAACATGATGACATAGAAAGATATCCTTATTTATTTGGATATATAAACGTTGGTACAAGAGGGAACCAAATAGATATGCGTCACACAATAACAGTGAGGCCAGTAGCAGTTATCATTGATTTGTGTGAAGGCTGTGATACTGCCCGAGCATCCAAACCGAAGTAGGTGGTTTTCTTAGAGGACCACACCCGGAGCCTTTGACCTAAAGGTCTAGTCCACAAGGTAATGGAACAATGTAAGGAGATTCAGTCCATGCTAGCCGATGACCAAAAATCAGTTCATACATCTTTGGTTCCCTCGGGATACTGGAGCTCATGTGCACCATTCATTTGTAATCAGGGTTTTCCAACTCCCCTAGGTGGACCATCCATGTCCATCAACCCGTTTAAAGCGTCGGACATTCGCTTTTCTTAGTCTCAACTTTGTGAACATCCCCGCCGCGACAAGGCAACGAGTAGGACTGCCCTGGCAGTGACTGTATACGCGTGGCCACGTGAGAGCATTTCGAGGAGAGCGGACTCTTCCCACCCTCGGCCGCACCAAAGTATTTAATAATAAAAATCCCTTCGTTTGGTTGTAGATATGAATCCTATTTGCTCACTCTAGTTTGAATGACCAGATTTTAATTACTGGCCTTCGCATGAAATTATAGCTTAAAATGCAAGTATACAAGCTAATAATTAATGAACAAGTTACATTATTTGATACTTAATAAGTTCCATTTTCATTCTTGACCAACGCTACTTTTAATTTGATAAAAAATTTAGTTATTTTATCACATTTTAAACTTTTTGTCAATAAAAATACAAGGTCTATTTGTCTGTCATATGCTCTACAGTTATGATGTCTACTTGATCCGCAATCCACAGCTGACTAGATTGAAAATACCTAAAATTGATGTATTGGCAAGAAAAGAACAAGTTTCTGGGTAGTGTATTTGTCCACGAGTGATCGGGACGTCTAACTGGGGAGCAGCTGTATTATCTAATCGAATTATTAATTGATTGGTCTGGATTGTTTAAATAGGACCGATGACTTCCTAATACCCAATGACTATGATCTCCCTTTGACCAATAAAGCAATGAAAGTGAGAAAATAATCGGCATCAATACTTAACGTCTATAGGTCTAAGATGCATCTCCTAAAGCAAGAATAGGACAAAAATACAACAGATAAACTTCTGTTGTGCAGTTCTGTACATATATCAAGAATCATATGATAAGATAAATTAATTATCTGAGTACACAGCATTGTAAATACGGAAGTATAATGTACACATGACTATACCATAAGTGGAGAATTAAATATTAGGTTCGTAATAAATCTACGACAGAGAACAGTAGCTGATATAACTAACGAAAGCTTACAAATAGGAGAATATAAAAATACAGGAAAAATATAAAATAATAATAGGTTATGCATTGGCAAAAGTGTTTCCAATCATGCGCCTATACTGTCATCGACTGAACGTAATACAACTGTACAAGTGGATGATTGAAAACACAACACTATTATTTAATATGGGTGAAAATCTACAATCATTGTAAATCACTCACTAATAATCAATTCATTATGTACTCTGTCTTTAGATTTTCTACAACAACTCAAAGTTAACAACAAAGACATATAACACTTCAAAATATACAGTATAATTGTTCGAAGGACTTAATAGATATATTTTATGCAGAAACGATATATAATATTGATTGTGAGCATCAACTTTTAAAGAGAATTCAGCGAATATGAAATCTGACAGTATAAAATTATTGTTAGTTAATTATATGTGGTATTATTAAGTGGGAAAATTCTGTATGTTTTATAAGGACTTGGAAGTTAGAAACTGTCTCTCACTCTCATTCGCTCTTGAACAACTCACCCTATGTCAAATAACGAGTAAAGACATATCATTTAGTGACCAACCAGAGTTTGATGTTTTCAGTTCTAAGTAAAATTTTATGTATGAAGACTACTAAAACTAACCAACTAATTCCAAATGCCCTGGTACGGCCGAGACTGGGGAAAGTCCGTTCTCCCTCTCGAAATGCTCTCAATTAGCCTGTAATGACTCACATTTATCACGAGAACACGACTGGTTTAATAAAAACAATTATTATTATAACCAACTGTACCAGTGTTTGTTTTAATGTGCCTTTGTTTGACTGTGCTAATGACAGCTATATTGTGCTTCCATTCTTCTTCACACACTTTGATCGTGACTTCGCGCGAATTCGGTTACGTTCTGTAACCAAGCTTGTATCCGGCACGACCTCGGTATCCTTTCGATGCCACGAGATCGCCAGCGAATATATCTCGATTTGGTCCATTAATTGCCTTCTGATATTTGGCTTCTCGGGGATTATATGGATTTATTTGGTTACGTCTAAACTTCGCCTTCTGATTAACTTGGCACGTGTTTTTTTGGTAGCGGTGTTCATAGTCTCGACGCCACGCTACAAGCCACGTGGAAACAACAAATGCCAGAGAAGTCTTAACCACTGCCTTTTCGTGGCATTATTGTTGTTTATGAAGTTGAGAGAACGAAATGCGGACTTTCGACGCATTAACGGGATCGGTGGATACGGAGGGTCCACCTAGAGGAGTTTGGAAGCCCTGATTCCAAACTAATGGCGTACATGTGCCCCAGGATCCTAAGGAAACAAATGGCGTATGAACCAATTGTTGGTTACGGGCTACCATGGGACTGAATCTCCTTACGTTGTTCCTCTGCTTTGTAGATCAGAACTTTAGATCAAAGGCTCGGGGTGTGGCTCTCTAAGAAAACCACCTGTTTCGGTTTGGGCATCCGGACAGTATCACAGCCCTCACATAAATCGAATGATTTGTGGTGCATGTCTGTTTGGTGCCTCCTTGTACCAATGTTTATGTTTTTAAATAAATAAGTCCAACTAATAAAAAGGAGAATAGTTCTCGAGAATGAAACTTAAAGGTTTGAAAATTTAGTGCCTCGGTTACAAATATTTCACTGAATCTAAGTTATACATTCAAACTGTTTGAAAAAACCAAAATGACAGTTTTGAGTACAATTTTCACACACACTTTCTGCAAACGCAAAGTTAGTTAGACATTGGATTCCAATCAATATAGTTTATTTCAGTATTAATGGCAATATGACTTCAGAATTATGTTACATTGAGGGTTATCAGTAGGATGACATGTATTCTTTCACAAAAGTTTGGATCTATTCGAATGAGCTCGAGACGAAGCTAATAGTAGGCATGGTGATAAACTGTGTCGTTTTCAGTTTTACGTGTGGATAACATTAAAGCGGTTATAGCTGAGGTCAGTTGTTATTTCGCATTTGTCCATATTTCTTTTTTAGGTACTTGGAAGGAAATCAGATAGAGTGATTATATTAACTTGGGAGTATGACCTCAATGTCTAAAAGGAAACCACTTGTGGCAGAAAAACAACTTTTTCTGAGTGGTTTTAGATGTATCGGCTCAGTACTTTTGAGGCCTTACCGCTAGCTACAGAAGTTTGTGATACAAAGTGATGTGTGTGTTTTTAAAAGAACTTTCCTAACCTCTTGCTTTTCTGTTGTAAGGAAAGCAATGTCCTTGAAGATACTGGTTGTCTGAGGGAAACTCCACCCTTCATTTTCCAGTGCAGTCAGTAGTAGGACTTCGACTTTATGCCTTAAGTTTCTATTGCTGGTCTTACTTTTCTCAAACTGACCTGCCTAGCGTAGTAGAACCTGAAGTAACGAATTTTTCAGGCAACATGGCTCGACTGAGTCATCATGATGTGCAAACTCAACCACTTTGAAGCAGTAGCTGTGATCGAGGTATGTTATTGATCAGGGCCGTCGACAACTTTGTAAATTTGTTTGATATGGACCTAACAATAACTCGCGGAACTCATTCAGTTGCAATTGAGAGCAAAAATAAGATCAAGGAAAGAAGAACAATTGCAACATAAGTAGATTCGACGTATACAAAACAGAAATTAATTAGATGACCAGAAATTTTGATCTGAATAGATATTAGATTTCTGTGCCCATGAAATAGGTAGATCTCTATTAGAAGTTATAAATTAGGATTCAAGAGTTGAAAAGACAGAGGCACTTTGATTTCATACTTTATGTTACAACTGTTCAAATCGCTCAAAACTCATCCGTAAAATACCGCGTAAACTGACCAGCATGTAACGAATGATATTAAAAGCTAATAAGGATTAAACATTGACTGAAATAAGCAAAATTATACAGGGGTTTGGATTATGATCCGCTTGGACAAAAGGCAACTAACCTGAAGAGTATTCACTAAAGCATCACCTGATACAATTTAGGTGCTGGTAAATCATGAGCATTTTTATGCGACTTCAAGGTGGAAAGGGAGTTTGAAGGTCCAGGAGTACTACAGAATGCAGTAGATGAACTAATGCAAATATCATAAGGTTTGGTTTTTACAACCAAATTTGGGAGATACTCAGGTGGGGTATTACGTTCTTTTTACCTGTAAATAATTGTTAAATGATAAAATCCAGCTTACAATTCGCTAGTTGATAGTGAAAACTAGGATGTATGGTTACTAAGATCCGATTCCACAACTAATTCATGTTTTTCATACGAAGAAAAGTCTGGAATAAGTTCACCGACTTTATGAGTCACACGGTCTTGTCTGTCCTTCCGTTTCTCTCTTTAAGAAAATATAATAATAAGTCTTTTCATGAAAGTTATTACAACTTTACTCCAAGTGATTTGGTAGATGAGTCAGAGAATAGGTCACTAGATATATTGGAAATATCAAGTTTACGAGAGAAACTTTGAAAAAGGTCTTCGCACGAAGACATCAGAGAATTTGTATTCACTAAAAGTGAAAGCAAAGGCAAGACCTGAAAAAGAAAGATGGTATTAAAAGGTTTATATCAATAAGTAGTTATACTTAGTTGCAGAATTATAGTTTACACTGGTACTACTGTTATTACAGAATACGTTCGTAGGCCACACAGACAGAATACAAAAGCATGTATTCATACTGAGGCAATCTGCTAGTATCGAATAAGCTAAGAGTGATATTTCGCGCTCTGAACTGTGGAATATTATTTCACCATAACTACAATAGTAGTATCATGTTGGAATGACATATGAACTGCAATTAAATAGCTGAGTACTTCAGGATAATAATGGGATGAATAAAAACCACATCCCAAGAACAGAGTATGGACAAACGTAACCCTTAGATTACCTCCGTACTTGAACATTAATATTAGATCTTGATTGAACTATACAGAATATACAATTTGCTTGACGAAAACTATGATGTGATAAAACCTGACCCATCCGAAGGAATACATTTTTGAGTTACACAAGGTGTCATCTAAGTTTAAAATGTCATCTTAATATTGTTGTAAAGCGATACTTAGGTCCATATGGAAAGGATATAGAGTAACTGTAATTAAAAGCTATTGTCCGAAGTTTTATTGTCAACAAGTTAACCGAGCAAGTGCACGCTGATCAACTCTAAGATGTGCTAAACGTAAATGGCAGTCGACTAAATAAACTGCTTTACATCAAGACCTGAATTTTTACAGTGAACTTAAACGAAATACGACTGTGGAAAAAAATTAAGGTAAAGAGAACGTCAGTGATCCGTATGGAACCACAAAGACGGGTGTTCTGGTGTTAAACAGAAAGATGCTGCAACATTTTTACTTTCGCATAATCTTAAAGTTGGTTTAAGGACTAAATATTGCTGAAAATACTCTTGTTATAAAAGTACACATCACACTACATATAACGCTGATCAACAACCAAGCCATTCAAAAGATTGTACACACAGCTGTATTCTCTATCCGCCCAAATTTTCCCCCAAAATTGGGAGATCGGGTACAGTTGTGAATTATCCACAAATTGTATCGATATATCGATACGGTACCGACTTGTACGTACAAGTCTCTGTTAATGCGCTAGACGAATACTTTTCCACCATTTATATAACAACACTAATGTTTCGACACTTCCACTTCCTTAACGGAACCCCGACTATTTTTCTCCAATTAGGACCCACCTTTTGTGAAACTACCTCCTCGGATAGGTCAGCGTCTCATCGCTTTGTTGAAACAAAGAGCCACTATATTTAACTTAGGTGTTCTTAGCGCATAGCCGACATTGTAATCCCTAATTTCGGCACACTTAATGATGTTTTTGTTTAGTCCCTGCCCAACTCTTTACTACACTTGTTCAATGATTAATTGTATTCACAAATTTCGATCTGCTGACGGCGCTAGAACTGTTTCATGCGTGAAGAATTTTATATCCTTGGAGTCACTTATGAGTTACTTGAAATAAACAGGCGAATAATAAATTGGTATACAAAGTTTATCACTCCATATAAGTGCTTATTTTCACTTGACTAAAAAGTGGGTTCAAGTATACCTGTGTGATGATAATTTGCCAGAGCTTCCTATGAAACGACGTTTTACTAGCCATTATAATTGCTTTGTTGTGAACATGCATGAACGTACTTCAAAATTTTTTGATGGCTGTGCATTTTCAATTTTTATTTGTATCCTTCAAACTTCCATGGTTTGTTTCATATGCTTCATCTCTTTGTTAATGTATTTGAGTGATTTCTAAGTTCAGTTGTTGTATGGTGTCTGGGTGCGATATATTCATAAGATTTCTCGTGTGTTTGGTCTTTCACTGCGTCAATAACTTTTATTGGGTTCGCGATAATACATGGGTGTTGGTGATCTGTACCTGTGATTGAACTCTAATCGGGTTCGACCTAGACTGGTAGGTAATACCACCTACGTCCAACTCACATCTCACAGTTAATAATTAACCTGATTCAACCTGTCGTAACGCCTAATTGACATGACTATTATAGTGGCAGTATGAAACAAACATATTCTTAAACCAATCGTGTTGTAAGAAGCATTTTGAGGGTTTTGTGTGATTATTTAAAAAAATCCCTCATATCTAAATTTTATAATTTATTCTTTAATGTTTCTTCAGCTATACACCCGCTAATCTTTTTGTTCTGGATGAGTAGGAGAAATTTTTATCGTAATTCTTGTTTTTATTACGTTTTCACCGAATTCCTATGGTTCTAACGAACTAAATCTACGTCGTTTTGCCTGAGATTTTGTTCATTTCCCCTTCTCATCGTTTTTCTTGGACCGACTGGAGTTGTTTACTTTTTGATTATTGATCCAAGTACACTTCCAGAAATGGAAACACTCAGTGTCACAACAAGTAATTAAGCTAACGATTCTTCAGAACATGCTGTACATGATTCATGTCAAAGCACAGAACAGAACTCCCTTATTATAGAAACTTATTTTGTGACTGTATTGCTCGTATTGCTTTACAATTTATCCACCGAATGCTAATCAAATTTAATTATTTGAGTTTATCAGACACTTACTGGTTGCCGTTGTTCAACTTGATGAATAATATGATTGGAGCTAAGTGACATTTGTTGTGTTGTTCTTTGCAAAATTTAAACTCGGACTAGTTTTGATTTGATTATTTATTCTTTGAAGAAACAACTTACACTGAGGGGCGGAGATCCGGAAAATTTGATTTTTCTACTCATTGGGATATTCCAAATACATTTATTTGTTTATAGATTAGTAATGTTTCGAGGTTTAGGATACTATTCAGTCGTCTAATCATCTATTGTTAGGTGTGAAAATTTCCGAACTGTTATATTATTTTATTGGCGTAAATACACCTCTTTTACCAACTGTCGTTTAAAACACATCATGGATTTTAAACTCACTGTTCGTCCTCAATCATGTCTTCGTCATCCCGTCTGTTCATTAAATCTTTAGATACTTTTGTATTAAGGCCTCTGTTATATCTGGAAGGTTTTGCTTGACATACCACGTATAACGTGATTAATAGAACGCCAGAACCTTCCAAGTCGCAATGAGAAGACAGAAGACTAATGAAAGGAATATTATTCTCAGACAGTGTCAATTATAGTAAAAAATTGTCAGGTATTAACAGTTTTTAGTAAGAACGAAATCATCATTACAGTCCACCAATCCGCGTACATGGGGTTATTAGCATTGAACAATCAGGAGGCTACATGTTAGAATTCCAGTACATTCTTCTAAAAAGTGATTGGATGGAATATCTTCGGCTCACTCTGAGCCTCCTACAGCCTCCCCGAGTTCACCCGTGATCCGTCGTCACAGCATCCAGGTCTTCACTTGGGAACACATTTTGAATACAGACACGTAAGTATTATGGTCACGATAACCCATATGGGGTGGGAAATTCTTCAGAAATGTTTGCTCCGTCACTTAGAAACTATTCGAAATACTTTCGTGATAATATGTAGAGTAAAAAAGGTAAATGGAATTAAGCATAAGGTAGAATGTTAGCAATAAATGGTGATCCATGTATGGCATCACAACCAGTGGAAATTGAAATTCCTAATGATTTTCAACTCAACAGGTGTCATTTAATGGTTGTCAACAAACAGATAATGGGATCTAATTTATGCTAACCAAAATAACGCGAAAGAAGAAATATAGCATTTAGTTCTTTCAAAGCCGAAACAGTTCTCTTATATTCTTTCTCTGAAATTTTTCTGTTATCGTTGGAAGGTGCATAGCACAATTCGTCACTGATGTGCCTCGCTATTGATTTACTTTCTGCTCTGTTTTAGGCTTATAACGTGACTCACACTCTCTCTGTGCTTTTCATGCTTCATTCACCGCCGGATAACTCTTTTTCTTTTATTGAATCGTTCAAAAGTTTCAGCAGAGATATGTTTATTGTTCTAGTGGATCTTAGCTCCCGGAATATCAGATGATGCGTAAAATAGTACGCCTTTGATGTCTTTCTAATTGAGCTGAACAGCAATTTTTTCAGTAGATTTGTGGAAACACCGTCCGGTTCGTTATTGGTACTACTATAATAGACCTTATCCCAAAATTGTAGATTTGTCATGATGTAACTATCTAATCTAGAAGCATTTAAGTGAAAGTCGCATCACTGTCTATCCTGACTCATTGTATCATGGCAATTAACAATACGATGCTAAGCACTCCTGAAGAACATATTTGAAATGGGGGTAGCGAAATATATTTAGTATGAATAAATGAGATGAGTTACACATAAAGACAACGTCTACAGAACTGAGCCATGCTATGCCGTTCAAATTCATGTAATTGTTCTCGCGTTCATTATTGCTGACCTCACCGTATTAATTGTTGAATAGTTTTCTCAGTATTTATATATTTAGCTTCAACAATTGTGTGGTCGGGAACCAAAACGACTACATCGACATCATCAATAATTTTTATTAGCGGTACATCATTGTGCTGATTTATCGTGAATCTGTACGTAAACGAGCTCGAATCTTTCGTAGGCTATTTTACGCTTTTAAGTGGAACGAAGAATATCATACTATAAAATTACCCGTAGGACTAAAATGTATCTGGATGAAGCTAGTAATTTGGTCAACGGACAACGAACCCTGGTAGTAAAAGGTTTCCTAGCTTTTGACATCACAGTCTGCTTCAACATGAACTTCAAATGGTATGAAAATCTTTGGTAACCCTATGACTAAAACACAAAACCTTTCACAATTTAGTGATATGTCCTCTTTTTGTAAAACTCAGGAAACCGACGTTCGCACTGAAAATATTAACATTCTTTCATTGCCTTCATGACATTTTCAAAATACTTTCGAATATCCTTCGCAAGTTCTGGATTGTCCACAGATGATGGCCGAACCAACAACTTTAAAAGACGTTAACTGTGCGACTAAATATATCAGTGTGAACTATAATGTCATACTGATGCGATTCAATATTATCAGTACCGATGATAAGTCAGTCTATGACCTTCTGGAATATCTCAGGAGTGGACATTTTATTCGAACAGTAAAAAATTACATTTTTACACCCAAATATTATATTGGTATCAGTTAATTCACTGGAGATTTCATCCAATTTAATTTGTAAGCATTAATCGCCAGACCTAATTATTTCATCCTTGGTCTGTTTTCAGTGTTACAACGCTGTTACAGAATCCGCGTGATATTCACCGCAAATTCCAGGTGCTTCTTCCACTCGCTTTTAATGAAATCTCAGTGGTCGTAGCTGAAACTAATATCTCATTTCCAACAAATTTACTAAAGTGATTCTTCGTGGTATATTTTAAACAGTATGAATTTAGTCTGCGCCTCAAGAAGACGGGCTACCTCTTGACTTCTAAGCGTCCTAGTTTCATTTCAATGCTTTTCACAGCCATCGAGCATTGTTAGACTATATCTTTGATTAAGGCGCTATTGAAAGAATTAGTGTTCAAAGACATGAGAACATCTGGTAATCTAAGGCCCTTGGACATAAGCACAGGGTCCTTCATCACGTTTTCGACCGACATCATTATAAAGAAAAGATAAGTTTCCGTTAGTAGTTCCTGTTGGAATAAACCTAAACTCTGTGGTAAATAATATTAATTCCCGTTTGATAATAAGAGTTCATGTTTCGTAAAAACTTCATGAGAATCAGTATCAACAACTTCACAAGTAAACAGAAGTCCTTAGCTATCTAAAAAATGCAAGAATGGATTTGTATGAGCTGCTTCTCTAGCGTCGTTTATACCAGCACGTATGCAGTCACAAATTCCGACATGCAGCTGTTCCCCGAAATCGCACTTGCATCTGAAGCTATAGTTTGAAATCTCCAATAGTCCGATTCGGAGCAAACGTATTTGTTAAATTGTATTTTTCCACATGTTTTGAAATACATTACATAAACATGAATTGTTAATAATCTCTTTAGTTTGTTGAGCGGAAGCGAAATGTTTTTTTATTGAAGCCATCTGGTTAACGTAAAACTGACAGTATGTGACGAGTCTATTCGTATAGAAACTAAGTGATCCAAAAATGCGGGAATATTACACTCATATATCAATACTTTTATTTTATTAAATTGTTATATTGAACCTAGCAAGGAATCACTAATATCACGTTCGGGAAGATTAAATTTCGAGAACACATGAACTGTCTACGGACCCAAAATCAATTTGTTTTCATCCAAATTGGGATGTGGTCGCAAAAGAAATGCTACGGCGAACCGAGAATGTACCACACATTAGCCACATTGGAGCAGGCCACACAACGATAAGGGAGCATTTTTACCACACCCTGTAGCCACGAGAGTGGTGAGGGTTATCGGTGGATGACCACTAGCAGATAGTGAGGGAGATCATTTGAAATACTCTTCTACACAATGTAATTCAGGCAAGGAAAATATATGGAAAGCGAAGATCCTTGGCTTAGCGGGACACGAAACACTTGCTGGAGGCCAGACGAAGAGTGTGGTACAAGTGGGAAATCGCCCTGAAGGATTCAGGTCGTAGATCTTAATTGGCGTTGAGAGACAGACTCAGCGTCAAAATCCGAAGCGATAGAATTTATTTCAGGCGAAGCTGGCAGACGAAATGAAAACCAAACCCTAATATCTCTAGAAACTCGTGACCAGGAGAAGGCCTACAAACCAGGGTGTCTGTACTCTGAAAGGGAAAAGTGGCAAAGAACTAACTAACTTAGTTGGCAGAGATTCTCCCTACCAGCCTCGTATACGAACTTGACCTGGGGCACACAGACGTGGAACATCTCTCACCTGCTGTCCCAGTTGGGTGTCTGGGCAATACCCAACTAACTTCCGGTTTAGTACTAAGAGACTGAAATCCCTGCGCCAAAGGAAGCCACAAGGATAATAATAATATATTTCTATAATGGCAGGTACACGCCATTTTTACAGGTATGATCTATAAATCAGAACCATAATCCTGAAACGGAGTGAGGAATCCATCGACATAACATTATGTAACCTGCTAAGTCACTCGTTATATACACGAGGATGGAAGCAGACCACTCTCTTTCTAGTCCTCATAGGAGGCAATAGAAAAGATATGGGCGGTGACAGCCCTTTTGCGTTGCTTCAAATATCGAAAGAGATGGAAAGATCGATGAATAAACAAATGGATGAATAAATGAGCAGAGGCAACAGCCTTTGATCCGGCGAAAATTTGACACACCACAGCACGCGTTTCTCATTTTCCAGATCACAAAGCGATGATTTCCACTAACAAAATTTTATCCAGGCTCTGCAAATACACGAAGGTCAAGATGTTTCGTACCAAGACAAACAAAGTGCACGCGAGTTGGAGGGTTTTAGCATCACGGTCTCACAAGTATTATTTTCACGTCCAATCCTCTTTCTGGTCTTTATTGGTGGCGTGTTGGCTAAAGCTGGCTCAGATATTGGATTGACATAGCCTCACCAAATAAAAGCTGTACATCCAAAATTGAGGTCGAATCAATTAGAGAACTCTTGTACATTGAAGCTATTAATGAGACCTTGGCTTCCCTCAATCATTAACTGTAACTGTTACAGCCTATTTTGTTTGTTGATGTCTGCAAATCTAGCGGATTTTCAAAAAGCTTCTAAGCTTTTCCTTGCATTTTGTTTCTGAGGATGTCGCGTCTCAACTACAGCAAGTGGGATCACATCGAGGTTTGTACTTTTCACAAACTACCCTCCATATTTTCTGTTTCACAGTCATCTGTGTTTGCATGTAACTAATGTAATTTTACAGCGTGATGAGATAATTTCTGGAGATTGATGTTTCTGGCACTGTCTTTGTCAGTACTAACTTCCACCAAATAATCATGAAATGCCCTACAGCCTCGACATTATCTTTCAAATAATATAAGTCATTGTTTATATGCAATCGCACATCAGTGTTCCAGTTTAGATGGGAAAAAACGTAAAATAATAAATTTATTTTGTGTTTGTCTTAATGATTAGAAAATTTCACGTGTAAGCATTACCAACGTTCTAGACCGTTCTTCAAGCAAGAAGGTATACCGAATAGTTCATGTGGTTTCTTGAGTGCTCAGGTTCTAGAATTGACGTCACTTTAAGGGAGGAGAACGCGATAGGGTTGAGGTGGGAAGGAGATCATTAACTGCTGCAATGGGAATATGCACATGAAAATACAGTCAAAATACAAGTTAGGTTACGAAACTGAGAGTCAAGAGTGATGGTGATCTGTGGATTCATCGGAGAACATAATGAGTGTGACTGGGGTATCACGACGAATCCCGCTCTTCACCACACCGTTTCCAACTTCAGCTCAAGACTGTTGCTCAATCACCAACCAGAAATTTCACATGTCGTGACGAGACTGAGATTATCAGTGTGCGTCAGCATGTATAATTGAGATGTACCGACCTACCACTCCTAGTTTATTTTCAACTTGGATGCCAGTCAGCATCTTTTGCCAGGGTAGATAAAATAAGCGTGCTTAACATCTCTCTGAAAGGTTTGTGTTCTCGTCAACCGACTTGACAATTCTACATTTTATTGTGCGTCTAACCTTAACACTACTGGTCAATTGTTGTATAATATACACTAGCAGTTGTTGGAAGGTGCCTATGATTGAATACTTACAACTCACGGGTGTTTCCTATTTTGAATGACGTTTGGTGATATGAAACATTGCTTCTCAGTTTACTCGTTTATTGGTTAACATACAGATTGAGATCTAGATTTATGTAACTTCAGTCCTTAAATAAATGGATAGTTGCGACTGTTTCAATTGGTTGAGAATGTAACTTATTTATATTACTTACAAAGTTATATGCTTGAGTTTGAGTCATGAACACAAACATTGGTAAAAGGAGGCACCAACCACATATGCATCACACTTCATCATTTGATTTGTGTGAGGGTTGGAATACTGCTCGGGTGCCAAAATCGAAGTCTAGTTATTTGACCATAAAGTCACGACCTGATTACAGAGAGAATAACAATGCTTCGGTCTTCTACGTGTCTGCGAAGCTGTTTGCATTCATATGAATATATACCTAACTTCTTTTAAAAGACTATTATTTTACACTATCTGTTGTCTTAGTATCTTTTAGGGCCATAAGTATCTGGTGCCCTCGTATCAATATTTATGTCCAAACAAATAAATAAACCTTTTAGAAAGTATTACGTGTGCTCAATGACGGCAGTTGTAGTATATTGAGAGAAAGCTTGGGTCGGTCATACCAAGATGTAGTGCTAGTTTATAGTCATTGATAACAGAACTGAGCCAGTTTGGGTCAGTGATTATCATAACAAATGGTTAAAGACTAGACGACATGTCTCAGAATCGTTCATAATGTGTGTGTGTTCACTCCTCCTCTAGAACCTAGGTCTTAAAATCTTATACCTTCTTTTCGTATACCTAATCGTTTTTATTGGTACTAATACTGTTACTACTTCTGCTATGAAAGTCTTTGCGATAATATCGCTGTGCTAGTGTGGTGCGGTAACAAACTGACATGTGTCGAGTTCTGTGTTGCAAAGGATTGACTGACTGGCCATTTATATATATATATATATATATATATATATATATATATATATATATATATATATATATAACCATCACTGATATACGTATTCATGTACAGAAATGTTTGTTTTTAGGCGGAGAGATTACAACTGGTCAATTTTTAAAGATTATTTGTAACGTAGCGTTTTTATGTTCATATAGGTTTCTGATGATGAAGATGATACTCATCCAAATATAGACACACCTAGCTTATTTCGATGGCGACATCAAGCACGCCTAGAAAGAGATGCTGCTTGGAAGAAAGAAAAAGCAGAGTTTGAGAATAATTACAAGTCATTTCTAACTAAATATAATGAGGCACAACAAAAATTAAATAAAGCTAAGGAGGTTTGAATTGTGGAAATATTTATTTTTATCTAACTGGGACAGACTGGTTCAGACAACATACAGGAATTACAAAAAAATTCGATGAACTCGAAGTGGAAGCTAAAGAATGGTCAGTGAAAGTGACTGAAATACAAAAGAAAGAACGAGTAGGTTTTGTTCAAATAGTATTCTATGAATTCTAATTCAGCTTAGACCTTTAAATATTGATACAATTTGCAAAGATGCGAAATCGAAGACGGTAAGTTGCACAAGCATTTGTGATAAAATTTACACTCCATTTATAATCCCTTGGATGTGCTTAACTGTCCGTAATACAGTGCTTATTCATACACCATTTTCACCATTTAAACTTATGTTTTGATGTTGTATATATAGTGGAAAACACGTCACGAAACATGTGCGGCGTTATGAAGAGAACGTAAAGTGAGTTTGATAAACTGTCAGTGTCATTCTTTTTAGGTATACAACACAGATAATAGTAAGCTAATGTTAGATCGCAACTAGATTAGATTTAGGAAATATCTATTAGTATCACCCCACTCAGCTGCACGATTTATGTGCTCCCATTCAGTGAGTTGTGGTTCACTAATACATGTTACCTCAGCTCAACTACTGTTACCCTTACCAGAGTATACTATATATAAAGTGTGTTCGATCTATCTAAGCTGACTGCTTAAAATAGTTGAATGATCTAAAAGCATTCTTTACAGTCAAAACGTTGTAACATTTGAGTTACGAATATTGTGTCAACACTGAGTAAATGATTCGGATCCGTTGGCCGGATACTATTAGCAACAACCAGCTGTGGGAGAGAACAAACCAGATCCCAGCGGAGGACGAAATTGGAGAAGCGCTGGAAGTGGATAGGACACACATTGAGGAAAGCACCAAACTGCGTCACAAGACAAGCCCTCACATGAAATCCTGCAGGCCAAAGGAAAAGAGGAAGACCAAAGAACACATTACGCCGGGAAATGGAGGTAGACATGAGAAAAATGAACAAGAATTGAATGGAATTAGAAAAGAAGGCCCAGGACAGAGTGGGTTGGAGAATGCTGGTCGGCGGCCTATCCTCCATTAGGAGTAACAGGCGTAAGTAAAGTACTGAGTAAATGCATTCCTATGAAGACAGTTATGGCCTTGAATTCTTAGCTAGAAATGATCAGGTCTCAGATTTCGACGAGGACTGGTCAACTTAGCATTTTTACCCAGTCTGCTATAATGGGGCCAACAGGGAATCGGATTAATGTATGCTATTGCTTATGCGAATGTTGGTTTTGCCTGCCTAGTTTCTGCTGTTCATACAGCTACACGGTTACGCGAATTCCGGTTTATTAATTGGTTTAACAGCAAACATATGTAGTGGTTACTTATTGTGACTAAGGCCTGAACAACAAGCGTAGCATAATAAAACGAATTCATTTACTTCATGTATTCTAGGTCAGCTGCTTACAACCTCGAAACAATAGTAATAATTATTTGCAACCAATACACGTACTTCAAATCATATTAATGAAGATTAGTAAAATAACAACAACACGTGTGGAAGAATTATAAGTTTGTAAAGTTAATGAATATTTATGTTACTGAATGTTTAATTCTGGAAAAAAATTGAAATACGTAGAGACACATTTCTAGGGAAAGAGAAGTGATGTAATAACAACTATGAAACTGGATAAAATAACATAGTAAGATGAGTAAAGCTCAAAAATTGACCTAAAATGAAAAGTTTTATTCAGAATATGAAAGTTGTGTAATTGAATAATGAAAATAGAAGTTACTAGGATTGTAAAAGATTTGCAACTGTTTCTTTTTAAATACACTGATATGGTTCTAACTTTTTAGTAGCGATTGTCTCGACGTAGTGTATCTTTTTCAAAGTTGATTGATTATTAATTATTTCGAAGGGTTTTAAAATGTCAGTTTAGTGTTCGCTATCAAGTGGATGACATAGAATAGCACTTTAGAAAACACAATGGAATGTACTCTGAGATCCGAACAAGTATCTTGCCTTCTATTCTTCCGATGTAAATGCTTTGACATGATCATGTAAACTGGTAAATACAGTTGGAGGTAATATGATGCGGGAATTTGTCCAATTTTATCTGTCTCAATGAAGAACTCGTTTGATACAACTAAACTAGTTTCGTGATTAGATATATCCCTTTCATTTCAGCACAATCTATAATTAATCATGTTAGCTATTTCATCACCTTTGAAGTCTTAAATGGACTGACTTTTCCAGATTGTATCAAATTCCATTTCCTTTTTTGTATTCTCATACTTACTAATAAACGTTTGTAGTTAGCCATTGTCTAGTAGATGCTTGTCAATTACATTTAATTATTGAGTATTATACAACCGTTCTTTCTTGGATCTATCTAAGCTCAACACTTCATACAAGCAATCTTTTTAACAATATCTGAATACAAAACCCACATAAAATTCATTGCTATGAAATTTAACATAAATTATCTGTTTTCATGAAACTAGTTAGTTTTTCTGTGAAACTATATGAATATATTGTAAACCATTCATAAAGTACACATGTACTTAGTTTATCATTACCTTTTTATATGGAGTCAATTGATACTACCTGTCTGACCAATCCAAAGTTGATAAAAATCACACTGAACTTAACCTTGTCATTTACTAGTTAAAAGTTAATCATTTTAATCACTAACCCATTGTTGCTTTTAATAAAACAGCCAATATGATTGAGTGAAATAATAATTTCATGAATTATTAAATAATATCTAGGATCCTGTTAGTCAATCAAGCTCATATAATATTTGACTGAATAAGTTGTTAGACATTGCTTTCATTATCGCAAAAAGGAAAGTGATCATTACATCATTTAAACGGTATTTTACACAAATCTTTTCTTGGAGTTAGCTTTTATATTAGACTGTACTCAATCAAAGGACTACACATAAACACGGATTGCATTGGGTAATTACTTCGTTGACTTCCAATCATTGAAGCTCTAATATCTGGAGATTTTTACGCTTATTTTAAATGATATAACTTAGCATGTAATATGTCCATCTTTAATTTAAGGTGGACACTGGATAACTAGTTATTCAGTATGTTTGTGTATTATAGTCGTTTGAAGTACCTTACATGAGATCAATGTGACATCTCTTTAACAAAAAAGAAGCATGCTTTTGTGAATTAAGATCTATAATCTTACTTGATGTGGTAAATATCACCCAGTGACAATTGATTGCAGAAACTGAATTATCAATATAGAGCTACCTTCAATGAAAAAACAACAATAACCAGTCAGCACACTGAATCGTTTTACATCAAAATAGCATGATATGCTTATATGAAAAATGTTTAGTACAAAATAAACATGATTAAATATCACTTAAAGGATCAATGCACGTCAGTCAGTCAGTCATAAGCGACACAGAACCTGAGACATATGTACATTCTGTGAAGTTATCTCCCACATAATGTAACTCATTTACCAAGTACATATCTTGTATTCAGCCGTGAACAACACATTTAGCAAGGTTAGTGATACTTGGCTGCTTACACTAAATCAAGCTTGTGATTTAGTGATTGAAAACTGAATACCCTGACTGACCATTAAGCCATCTCTCTACAAATGATTACGGGATATAAGTTTAATGAGATTATTAATCAACCTATAGAAACTAACTCAATCTATCAGGCATATTTGTTTGCCATATACATGTATCAGGCAATGATAAGTATAAAAATGGGTTCTGTCTGATTATTTCACGGTCCTCTTTATTCTTTTCATTTCTAAAACTACATTTAAAAAAATGCAAATCAACCTGTAAATTTAGGTTATTAACTCGCCCAAACTTAAACACGAAGAGAATTTGGACTCGACATCAAATTCCGAAGAGGCTGCAGTAAATCGTCTAAAAGAATTTGTTAATAAGCATAATAAAGCTATACGAAAATTTGGACTATTGCAAAAACCATTAGATTCACAAAATTTTCTTGTTAAACATCCTGATCTAGTATGTGAAGAGACAGCTAATCAGCTTGTAATTTGGTGTATTGATTTGGCTATGGAAGAGGTAAGCAATTCATTTTTGCATATTTCATAGTTCAATGTACTTTATGTTCGTAATTTACAGTTTTGTTATGTCAACAATATTAACATAAATCTTTGTAACCAAATACAGGTTTATGTTTAGTCGGATTTGAGTCATACTAGTATGTGTTTATGAGTCCTGGTTATATTAATCTTTCTTGTCTAAAGCGAATGAAATGATACAGGATTGTAATCTGTGTGACTTACCAATTGAATACTGTGTTGAGTCTTATTATCACGTGATTTATTCGCCAATCGAAATACACCTTATTCAATCTTAGTATTGTATTAAACTAATGACGTCCGACCGGTATGAGTAGCCTAACGTCCTTATTGGTCCTTTGTTCGTTTAGCCCGTCCAGTTGAGTCCATAACACCAACAACAGCTTCCATTATGCAAATTATTTATTTCAAACATACTTGGTTTATATTACCAGTCAAACAGACCGCACCACACCATAAAATAGGAAATAACATTTGTAGAAAATCAAGCCAAAAAGTGGTGTTAACGTAGGAGACGGTAGTTAATATACTGAACATAATTTAGGAACAGTGAATCGCATAATAATAATAATAATAATAATAATAATAATAATCTATAGGTCAAAATGAAGCTTATAATAAGAGGAATATAGATATACCTAATCTAGTTACTGAACGGATTATACAATAGGAATATATATATATAATATTAGGTCCATTAATAGTTCTCAGTTGCCCGTAATTTAATCTTCACTAGGATATGACAAAATGTTTTCTAGCGTCCAGTGTCCGAAACTAGAACGATTCAGCTATGCCTGTACGCTAACTGGTCTCCAATAGTTTCATCAACTGATCTGAGTCTATCACGGAATCTTATCTTGTTTTCAATCATTGTCATTATTGTTCTCAATAATTATTCTATTTTTTGTTGTTGTTTTTCTTGGCTTCCTCTTAAAATTCCAATAGAAATTCGAACTAATGGAACATGTTTCACATCAGTGTATAGTGATGCAATTTATGCTTGAATTAGCAAAATCGCTAAAAGTTGATCCAAGAGCGTGTATTCGACCATTCTTTGCGAAGTAAGTTCAATAATATATATAAAATCAGAAGGGGCTTTGTGGATATTATAGTAATTTCAATAGTTGAGGTCATGAATCAATTGAAGCTAGCCCACCATGGTAAACCTGGAATCATTGGACGACCGTTTCGTCCTATTGTGGGACTTCTCAGCAGTGAGCATCCACTATCCCGCCTCGCGAGATCCGAACCAAGGACATATCAGTCTCGTGCGCGAACGCCTAACCATAGACCACTGAGTTGGTCGGCATCTAGCGGTGTTAATATCTAACTTCAACTAATCCACAAAATTGAGCGACACATCCACCATTGTTATCAGTGAGTTACTATCTCACAACACACCTGGTCGAACTCCACTGGTCACTGCTTCTCACTATAACTCCAGGACATATTTCTTGAAGCCAGTCACTAGTGGGCGTATTTTGATTAATATCAGAAGTGATGCCGGCCCAGTGGTCTAGTGGTTAAGCGTTCGCGCGCGAGACTGATATGTCCTTGGTTCGAATCTCGCGAGGCGGGATCGTGGATGCTCACTGCTGAGAAGTCCCACAATAGGACGAAACGGCCGTCCAGTGCTTCCAGGTTTACCATGGTGGTCTAGCTTCGTGATCTCAACTATTGAGATATATAAATTGTCAAGTATCACTACGAAAATGGTTTAGCTTGATAACTTCAAATTAATTAAGGAATGAGTAAATTATTTATAATAACAATAATATTGATATCCTAACATAGTGCACAAGGTGTTAGGCCACGTGGAATAATGATCATATTACAACTTAATCGATAGAGTTCAATCATCTCTAAAAGATTGGATAAACACGAAAACGACCACTACTCAGTGATCCCTAAATTGTAAATATCCTATTTGCTACTATATAGATTGAAGATGATTCTACGTCAAACATATTGTTATGTATATAATATACTGTAAAAAAAGTGTATTACATAAAATGAGTTATTTATGTTTTATATTAATGATGTGAAATGTAAACAGATTGTGTTATGACTGGTTACTGATATTTCAGCATTTCTATTTGAAGTGACTTCAGATACCCTAGTATGGCGTGAGTGGTGAAATAATGAAAGCAGTATAATGAGAACAGTTTTGCTCTATGCTTGTGAAACTTGACATCTCCAAATTGAGGATGTTAAGCTACTCTCTATGTTTGATTATTGTTATCTCAGATGGATGGCTGACATTCCTTGGTAACACCATGTTAGCAATGTAGAGTTTCGACAAAGACGATAATTCAATTGGTTTGACCATCTTGAAAAGCCGAGTCCGGTGGCTTGGACATGTACTACGAATGCCATCCCAGTGAATTCCACATCGTGCATTATTTGCTAACGCTGTGACCTGTTGGAAATGGCGAAGAGGTATTCAGTGCATAACATTGTGTCGTTTTATGAAATAAAGATGCACAGGATTGGTCCTTCACGACTACTTGGTTGGCATCTTGGAGTTGATAAAACACTATCTTTGAGACGTTATCAGACATGGCTCAGAATAGAAGTCAATGGCTATTCTGCTGTAATTTTCTTCCACTTTCTCCATAAAAGTGAGAGGAACCTCTTTAACTGAATTTCGTGTGACATTTACAGTGATTTTATTTATAAATAATAATCATTTGTTCTAGTTTCTGCTCAATCAGTCTACTGAAAATTTCAATATCTTTACTATTTTTGTATTGTTGGCAGATGTCCATCAACGTGATCTTAAACCTAGTGAGTTGATCGAGTGAAGTAGGGACCAAATCTGTTGTTTGTGTAAATAGATTTTCAAACTGTACATCTGTATCTAGCGTTGTGGATTCTACTTTCAATCATACAATCCAACTTTACTTATTCTTTGTATTTTCTATACTGTGTACACTTATACATAATTGGATCCTTTTTTTTCTCTGAATAAATTAAGGTTTAAGAATCCTGAACCAGAATATCAAAAAGCTTTCAATGATGAACTTTCTGCATTCCGAGAAAGAATCAGAGCTCGAGCAAAAGTTCGTTTAGAAGAAGCTATGATGCAAATTGAAGAGGTAAAACCGCATTCTAATTGTTTTAATATATATGAAAATATTATTCAATAACTCAATATTATTGTGAATACCATATAAGGATGATGATAAGAAATGAAGTTAGCAACGATTTTTATACTAATCTTTCGGTAATAATTCAGTTGTGTCAAGCTTGGCCGAGGTTGCTTAAACTAAAGTACGTCATGCAGAGTCTAAATCTGTCACTAACTGGTTAGAAATCGAGTTCCTTAACGGCGTTTTAATAAAGCAGTCAGTCAGCTACAACATAGGACCAGGCACATATATGCATCAGTCCAAGTGACCACACCTAATTAGCGCATTAAAATGAACACCGGATTCATAAAAGTAGTTAATTCTGTGGTGGTAATATATAAAAGAAAGATTGCATATAAGGACATAGTACAGGAAGACTGAATAAGTAAATGGTAGGAAAGATATGAAGCGATTATAATCTCATAGTTTAAGGGAAGACAGAGAGTGTATACACCCACGCCATTGTGGTCGATTCTGAGCCATTTCACCAAGAGTTTCTAACCATTGGTTACGATAGTCATGCGGACCCCAACCAAGTAGTCTGCATCTCCCAACATGGCTCAGACTAGAAGTTAGTGACTTTATGGACCGATGCCACGTTTTGGTTTGGCCGCCCCTCACTTTCTTCCAATCATCTATAACACCGGTTTGCATTGCACGTCGTGGTAATCGGTGTTCAGGCATACGCAACATGTGGCCCAACCATCCCAGTCGATGAAAATTCACAACCTCATCAACTGATTTACCATCATTCCCTAATACTCTACGTCTAACCTCACTATTACTTACCCGGTGATCCCAGCAGATGCGAGCAATACTTGTAAGGCATCTGTGATCAAATACTAGTAGCTTACGAGTGTCTTCTACTCTTAATGGCCATATTTCGCAACTTGTTTATTGTTACTAGTGGCAAATTACTACTATATTTCCTTTGGATTGAACAAAGGGATAGTATGATTACATAACTCCTTACACTAATGATGTGTGCAGTTCAATATCGAGTGCGTGCCGAATACGTTTACTTAGTAATTTAAAAAATCCGTGTGACTGTATGGCTAGTTTCTGTTTTTCGTTTTAGGAAGAAAAGCAAAAACGTCTTGGTCCTGGTGGTCTGGATCCAGTTGAAGTTTTTGAGTCGTTACCAACGGTTAGTAATATTTATTGTTGTGAATTTTGGTTGTTTTCTAAAAGAAAACTTTACAATGAAATTTTTACAGCCTACTCATTCGACCGATCTACAGTGAAATAATGGAACCACTAGCTTCCTAATGAACTTTATTAGACTGGTTTTTATATGCTAAGTATTCAGCGAAAACGGTATTGGTCATACAGGTTTTTAAGAGTAAACGGGACTAGACTTAAGTTTATAAACGTACTTGGAACCATACCAAAGTGACAGTTACTTATTTAAACACAACATTAGTACAAAGGGGAACCAAAATATGTATGCTCCACACAAAATAGTTGTTATTCAGTTTATATATGGGTTGGGATACTTCCCAGTTGCCTACGTGGAAGCATACGCTTTTCCTAGGGGGCACTCCCCGAGCCTCCGGCCTAGAAATCTAATCCTCAAGGTTGTGGAGCAATGTTAGGAGGTCCAGTCCCATCGGATCCGGTAAATGGCAATAGGTTTGTACTTTATTTTTTCTCATGAACCTGTAGTTCATGCGGACCATTGGTTAAAAGTCAAGGTTTTCGAACTTCCCTGGGTGAGTTTTTCGTACCCACCAACCCGGTCTTAACGCCGGACATTAGCGTTTTGTCCGCTCAATTTCGTAAACATCCCTGTCACGAGGTAGTGAGTAAGACTTCCTTGACAGCGTCAATATATACGTGGTCTTATGAAAGCATTTAAGAGAGAGAGAGCAGACTTACCACCCTCGACCCTGTCAGGACATTTGGGGTCAGAAGTCAAAAATAGAGCAGTTCAAATACATGGCTCAACTGAAGGCTGTAAATTAGTGTTTAGGATTAGGATTAAGAGTTAGGGTTTTCCTCACAAATTGACATCATCTATAGTCTCAGAATGCTGTATGCCCCTAAATGCCCTGGTACGGCTGAAAGTGGGGAGAGCCCGCTATCCTTCTCGAAACGCTCTCGCAAGGTCACGCGTGTATAGCCTGTGCCAGGGAAGTCCTACTCATTGCCTTCTCGCAAACGAGTGTTGTTTACGAAATTGAGAGGACGAAAAGCGAATATCCGGCGCTTTAACCGGGTTGGTAGATATGGATTATTATCGGGTGAACGGAAAGGTATAACCAGGAGGAACTCTTTCAGTTAAGGAAGTTACAACCACTTTATGAAGAAAGTAAAAATAGGGTACAGCAGGATCACCACTGGCTTCTATTCTGGGCCATATCTGATAACGTCTCTAGCCACTGTGTTGCACAATCTCTAGGACTCCAAACCAGGGAGTCGAGAAGGACCAACAGAAGCCCGTCCTTTGCAGCTTTCTTTCATGCCACGACACCATGTCATACAATGACAACCTATCCGTTTTTTCCAACCAGTTCCAGCGTCGGCAAATAATACACGACGTGGAATTCTCTGGGACGACATTCGTAGGACATGTCCAAGCCACCGAAGTCGATGTCTCAAGATAGTGACATCAATTGCATTATCGTCGCTGCGCCCGAACGCACATTGCTGAACTTCTGCATTACTAACATGGTATTGCAACTGGATGTCAGCAATCCTTCAGAGACAACGATGATCAAACACAAAGTCGTCTAACATCCTCAACTCGGAGAAGCTAGGTTCCACAAGCATATTGAATGCTACCACCTCGGATAATAGTTGGGTGTTAAAACACTTCTCATTTTATCTAAACCATAGTTAGTGGGAACGTATGCAGACAGTGCCAGGAAATAACAAATTGTATACATATCTTTCAAAATTCTTACTATTTTGTTCATTATGATCGAGTGCAAACAACTGGAGTTCGATCTAGGAGTGTAAATTTTACTTTTGGAATTAATGCTACGCGTATGTCTATTTATACCATAACAAATTGCTTGAGACTCCAGATACACCCGAAATGTGAATTGTATTGATATTTTACACTAGCCTGGTTGATGAATAATCTCACTTGGTTTATATATGTAAGTTTCAGACAAACAACATATATCAATTGAAAAACTACATAAAGGGGTTTAAGTTGAAGTAATAACAACAACTAACAGCTTTGGTCAGGTCATTTTCACCTGATTAAATTAGTTTAAGAATAATGTTTAGCTTTTTTCGTTCTAATTAAGAGATGATCCATCAGAAACAATGTGTATGAACGACAACTTCATACACAGGACGTTGAAATTGCTCCAAAGGCAGAACATATTTTTGGACAAATGATTCAAAAAGGACATATTTAGAATTTTAGTCGATTTTCGTTTTAGTATGATTTATTCATATTTATAGTTGACAGAACAGATCACAGCTTTTCTTTGACTAAATAGTTACCATTCCATCACTGATGAAATATGCAATAATCACGTAATCAATGATTAAACATTAATAACATCTGTTCTCGTTTATGCACATCGTATGTAATATATATTTGACAACGTTAATTATTAATGAATGCAGATAACTTACTTTTTCCTATTTTATTTCCTATTCTACAAGAATCTTCAAGAGTGTTTTGAGAAAAAAGATGTTGAGTTATTAAAAACAGTATTATGCAATATGGATCCACAACAAGCTGAATATCATATGAAAAGATGTGTTGATAGTGGATTATGGGTGGATAATGCACGTGATCAACAAGAAGAAGATGGTGAATCATCGTCAAATGTTAACACTGACGGTAATGATGATATTGCTGCTACAATTCAAACAAATAAAGAACCAATCCATGATAACGCCTAACATAATAAATTCTCTTGTATACTACTCGCTATCGAAAATTGCCCCTCTCTGTTTATTAAAGAAAAGTAAACGATTTTATACATACTTCATATTAATCACTACTGAATCCTTACTACAACTCTCCTCTTCTTCTTATGCGTTTATCATCCATCACGTTATGTTAAAGCGTTTGTTGGTTGAATTTCTTTTCTTAAAAATGAGTCCACTGGATTGATTTAGTATGTAAGCACATTGTTTCATTTCTAATTAATATTTGTGTGTAAAGAGTAATTCCTACGAACGACTAATGAATTTATGCATATTTTCTTGAGTGGTTTGTTTTTCTCTCACCTTGAGACGATATATCAGTAATGCAATAAATGTAATAAGCTACATTTTGGATTATGTGTACGTGCTACAACTGAAGTAGACGATGGTGATGAAATCCGAATCCACAGTCTTATCATTTGCGAGTTGAGCATGTTAACTACTGAGCAACATCTTGTCGGAATTCATGATTCCCTAATTAATCTGATTTAACTTGAGAAAATATTGTCATTTCATTCCGGGTCAGTCAGCTGCAACGTAGTACCAGGCACATATACGCATCAGTCCAAGTGACCACACTTCATTACCACAATAAAATGAACACTAAATTCATAGAAGTAGTTACTTCGATAGTAGTAATATATAAAAGAAAGAATGCATTTGATGATATAATACAGGAAGAAAGAATTAGTTCGTAGAAAGAAAGATATAAAGCAATTTTAATCTCATTGTTTAAGGGAAGACAGAAAGCTTATACACCTAGGCCATTGTGATCGATTCTGAGCCGTGTCACCAGAGTCTTCAACCATTGGTTACGGTAGTCGTGTGAACCCCAACCAAGTAGTCTGCATTTATTAACATGGATCAGATCAGAAGTTAGTGGTTTGGCGCCCCTAACTTTCTTCCAACCATCCCCAACACTAGTAAGCATTGCGCGTCGTCGTAATCGGTGTTCGGGCATACGCAACATGTGGCCCAACCATCCCAGTCGATGAAAATTCACAACCTCATCAACTGATTTACCATCATTCCCTAATACTCTACGTCTAACCTCACTATTACTTACCCGGTGATCCCAGCAGATGTGAGCAATATTTTCAAGACATCTGTGATTAAATACTAGTAGCTTACGAGTATCTACTCCTGATGGACACGTTTCTCAGCTGTAAAGTAAAACAGAACGAACTGCCGCGCAATATACTCGTCCTTTTATTGATAGACGGATATCTCGCCTTCGCCATAGGTGACGTAATTTGGCAAATGTCAGACGAGCTTTTCGAATTCGTGCAGAGGTTTCGTTAGACACCAACCTATTAGGATTGATCAGACTTTCGAGATTAGTGAAGTTGTCAACACGTCCGATTACGTCACTCCCTATTTTTAATTCAGGTGTTGACGCAGGCCAGTTTTGAAGCAACAACTTGCATTTGGAGGGGGAGAAACGCATTTCAAACATACTGGTATTGTTGCTCAGTGCTACCAAAGGACTCAGCAATTTATCAGCGTCTTCACCAAATAGGACTATGTCGTGTGCGTATTGTAGGTCGATAAGTAGACCTGGTAGGATATCAATGCCCGGAAATTCAGTCGACGAGAAAGTTATTTCCAGCAATAAGTCCATGATTAAACTAAACAAAAATGGAGATAATGGACAGCCTTGTGGGACGCCACTTGAGGTTGCGAAATCAGATGACAGTTCGCCATAAGCTCCGACTCGACTGATAGTGTTCGAGTAAAGAGCCTTCACACGGTACATGTACTTCTGAAATACACCTTTCAATGACAGACACAGGACCTCTTGATCTACAGAGTCAAATGCTCCTTTTATGTCAGGAAAAACTATCATTATCGGACGCCAATAAGCATACCTATGTTCTAAAACCTGACGAATGGTGAATATGCGATTGATACAGCCACGACCGGGTCTGAAGCAAGCCTGGTTTTTTCGTGTTTGCAGTTCATAAGTCTTAGTTATGTGTTCGATAATTATTGAGGCTAGTATTTTAGAAGCTATATTAGTCAAGCCAATCCCTTCATGTCTATCACAGGATAATCTTGACCACTTTTTATATATTGGGACAGTCAGTGATTGCGACCAGTTAGATGGATTACGCTCAGATTTTAGTTAAAATATTAGTCAACCTAATCGCTAAATTGGGCCATCATACGTTGGGAACGGTGGGTAGTTGTAGAGTAACTGAAGGGCAGTCGAACTGCTCCTTAGTGTTCAGCTAATCGTTCTAAACGTCTGAACTGGGTGCAGATAAGTGTCGTCTTTTTCCGAGATCGCCTTACATTTGACTTCTTAGTTCCAGTTTCTTTTATTAGTCTGAAGAGCTGCCTTGTGTTACCTACAGCCGCTCCCTTTCCCGTCTCTTTTGCTTTCGTTGCCCACCACTGCTCACAGTCGTTCCTTAGACTTTTGGTTAACCTAGATCTGATGTTTTCGTTCTTCATTGTTTTCAGAGCTTGATGGGATGAGTTCGCGAGACTTCATCAGTGCAATAGATTTGGTAAAAATCCATTAGTTTAAATCACTAATAGATGTCACTGCTCTTCATATATCTTTCCAAGCAACATCTGGGTCAGCCTCGTTTTCAAAACTACCTAAGTGTGACCTCAGTTGTTCCTGGAATCTACTTTTGGCTTTCTCGTCACTAAGTCCAACTCTTATTGGTCTTAGTGCGGTTTTTCTGAGTCCAGTGAGGCGCAAGCAAATATCTGCTCGTGTTAGAGCATGATCAGAGTCTAAATGTGTACTTCAGAATGAGCGGCAGTTTTCTTCCGAACCTCTCCAATGATGACTGATTGCAATATGGTTTGTTCGAGTCCATCATCGGTTTAGTGCAGGAGGTCTCTATCTTAGACTGTCTCACGATTAAAATTAGTGCTTGCTAGAAATAAACGACTGTGTGAGCACAGTTGCAGCAGACGATCACCATTATCTGTCCGTTGTGCCGGAATACTAAAATACCCACTTAAATGTCGTTCTGTTTGGTTTAAGCTACCTACTTGAGCAATAATGTCACCTGTTACGAGTACTATATTCGAGCGTTTAGCTTTATGAAGTTCAGAGAGCTTTCTGTGAGTCATCTTTGACTTCATCCGGGTTGCAGTCAGAAACGACGTGTGTCCTTATCCTCCCGAGTTTCTATGGAGCTGTTTAGCCGAACAACACATAGGCGACTGTTAACGGGGATTTATTCTATTGTGCTTATTCTGCCCTCGTACTTAGTGCTATGCATACACCCGCCAGTCCACGAGAACTAGCCATCGGGTCGCCAGACACACGAAGGGTGCATCTCGTTGGCTCTCCGTTTGGCAAGGCGAGGTCAAGTGACTGGTTACAAAAGAGGAAGTTTAGTGTTGAAAGTAGATGTAACAGGAATAATAGGTATTGAAGTGGATTGATTGTGAATACAGTGGTCTTGAGTGCTGTTAGATGTATGAGGGCGGTTATCACTTTCCGGTCGCCCACACCGTGGAAGGCTTCTCCTGGAGGTATCTGAAAAGGAAACTAGGTTACAGATGGTCTTAGTGACCTGAGAGCGTGACCGCAGTGCCCAAGGAACAACTGCTTGAGGTCGGTCGGACCTTTTATGGGTAATTTCTGTGTTAGCTCCATACGTTTTGGGACCTTACCGCCGGAGATGGATATTCGTGGGATAAAACAATGTGTGCATTCTTATGATCGACCTTTTCTAACCCCACCCTTCCTTGTGGGAAGGCAGCATCACTGTTATGCCGGTTATCTGAAGGAAACACCTTACTGCCGTCACACCTCTGTACAGTCAGCAGTACGACTTCGCCTTCGGACCTTGGGTTTGTTGCTTTTAGTCTTACCGCTCTTCAACCGACCTAACTGGCATGGTGGGACTTTGAGGGACAATTGATCGAGCCAGTGTAGCTCGATTAGTTCGTTACGATAGGCAAACCCGACCACCACGTCAAGGTAGCAGCAATGGTCCGGGTGCAGATTGTCATATTCACGCAGTCACTATTACAGCGTTAGATTCAGTGAATACATATCAGCCTAAGCAGTGTAAATTTATGTAATTATGAGAGAGGGTTACATCTATACAGCTTACCGTTATAATTACACATCAATATCTATAAAGGTCATGGAGATAAGAGTAAGATGTGATGTTGACATTTACTGTAGCTTGTCACAGCTCGCTTCAATCTTTTATGTAATGAAATTGATTAAAATGCACCGCTACTACTACTACTACTACTACTATCACCAATGTGTACAAATAATTTAATATGAAATTAAAGAAGCATGTACAATCAGGAAAAACTCATTATTTGTAGAAAATTAACTTGAAATGGTTTTATTTGACAAAACTTTTAAAAAAATAACTATTATGGTATAGCTGCTAAATAATCTTTCACTTCATCTGATGTTAAAATTCGAAAACCATTTTCATTGCATACACCAACTTCAATATTACTTTCAGTCATTTGACCTTCAAAACTCTCTTTTAAGGTTAATATGGCCGCATGTGTAGCATCCTCCAGTTCTAAATTTTCATTATATCTATCAATAGAAACATAAAGGCATTTTAAATACATTAACAGATCAAAATGAATGTTCTGTATTTTGATTGTAAAGCAATAACTTGAATATTTATTTCCTTCCTTAAAATTTTTTTATAAGGTAACTTATTTATCAAGTAAACACATAGTTATGTACTTAGCTCTTGGTCATATTAGGCTCTTTAAAACCGATATAACTGAATCAAGATTGTGATCTGCTATCTATGAATTTAACTCTAACTACCCAAACATCACTTTAAATCATTATATGATGAATTCTGTTTAACTTAAGACGACGAATGGTGAGATACTATTCCATCACAACCGTGATTGACAGTGAAGCATAACATAGCTGTTGAAAAGCACTTAATTTATGATGTCGATTATTAGTTAGTTATTAAAGAGCAAAAAACTGTAATCAACAAAATCCAAAT